GGGCCTTCCAGGGGCAGCGCCAACCAAGAAGATGAAGATGCAGACCACCATAGCCAGGTAAGCACCCTCTTCACTCTCCTCCTTGCTCGCCGTCTTCCTCCTCCTCCTATTTCCTGGAGTCTCCCTCCTTTGTCCTCTCCACCATAGCCAAGGTGGAGGGCCAAGCCCGCCTTCTTCGTCCGCAGTGCTGGTACACCGAGCACGCGCTCTAGCAGTGTGACGCCAAACTTGCACACCGCAAGAGCTCCTTGCTCTTCTCAAAGATATACCGGGAACCTGCTTCCTTTGGTGGTGACTTTTCAGGCTGCTTGGCCTCCCGAGCCACCGTTACCTGCGTCCTTTTGGAGGGAAACATCATTGCAAGTCTGATATCCTTCGCTGCAGACCGTAGATTGAGACTACAGGACTGGGACCCCTAGACCTAAGCCTACCGGACCCTCAAATTCCCTCGGCCTCTAAAGGTACTATTTTTTTGTCGGGACCGCTAGACCTAAGCCTACCGGACCCTCAAATTCCCCCGGCCTTTAAAGGTACTAATATTTTTGTCGGGACCCCTAGACCTAAGCCTACCGGACCGTCAAATTCCCCCGGCCTCTGAAGGTACTAATGTTTTTGTCTTCTTTTACCTACCTACCAAGCCGCTGCTCAAGTGTTTTCCATCCTACGCGGGCCTAACCTACCACTACGTCCCCGCTGCAACCCACAGAGGCACGGCCACAGGTAAGTACCAGGCCTGAGTACCTATCCAGCATACAAGTACCCTGGTGGGTCACACACATCCAAGCAATCATGCAACCAGACAAACACATGGAAACTCAGCAAGCATGCACACACATGGATTTAGGAATCTCAGCAGAGTGCGGGAATCTCAGCAAGTCGCACAATCGGGCGGCTAAACTCATAAAACAGCAGAGTTCTCAGTCTGTGATTTTTTTTTTGCAGGTCATTACATCTATAATAACTTTTGAGATGTATCTCCACATTTACGACTCTTGTGGGTTGGCTTTGAAGGTTTTTCTAGGCAATGATTTCCTCTACTTCCTTGTGGACTCTATGGGGTACTTCCTTTGGAAAACAAAAATATCAAGTACATATCTTTCTTCTTGTGCTATTTCCAGTAATTTTAATCTCCTCAATTTCTCTTTGCACTCCTAGGGGTCCTTTCAACTTCTTCATATTACCCCTTTCTGTTTTTTTCTGTTTCTTTTTGGACTCGTTCTTTGGAAAATGAATCCAAAGTACATAGTACATACGTAGTACTATGTATAGTACATACATAGTACGTTCTTTGGAAAATGAATCCAAAGTACATAGTACATACGTAGTACTATGTATAGTACATACATAGTACATAGTACATAGTACATACATAGTACATACATAGTACATACATACATACATAGTACTATGTATAGCACATACATAGTACATAGTACATAGTACATACATAGTACATACATAGTATAAATAGTACATTCCTTCCTCGTACAGAGTACATACATAGTACATTCCTTCCTTATACATAGTGCATACATAGTACAAACGTTCCTTATACATAGTACATTCCTGCCCTATACACAGTGCATACATAGTACATTCCTTCCTTATACACAGTGCATACATAGTAGATTCCTTCCTTGGACATAGTGCATACATAGTACATTCCTTCCTTATGCATAGTACTAGTGCATACGTAGTACATTCTTTCCTTGTGCATAGTACATAGTCCATACATATACATTTACCTTTTCTTCGGCTAGGATCGATGCAATTCACTTTTCTGTCCTTTGTCCAAAAACACGCAAGGTTTTCCAGTTCTTCCTCAATTCTCTAAAGGGAGGATTCAATCACGTTTCGAGTGCCAAGGATCTTCCTGAAGCCACGGGGCCAAAAAGGTGAAAACTGGATTATGCAGCGTAGGAGACATGAGTTGGATTCTGTGAGTGTGTCGTCATGTTTGCCGTACACAACCCCACAAAAAAAAGCACGACTGTACCAGATGAGAGGATTTTAGCCCCTTGACAAGGCTGGAAAGCACCTCGCCCGCCCTAAGTGAAGCTGGGCCTGCAAAAATGCGGCTAGGCCTGAGTATAGGCTGATGGGCCGTCGGTTGATTGCTGCACCGCAACATCTTCAACCAACCAGTATCTCGGTTGTAGCAGATGTTTAGGCCCAGCGAAGGTTCTGAGGCCCAGGGCACTTACATTTGAGCCCCAGGCACATTCTGGAAGGGCCCTGGGCTCAACTACTGGGACAGAGACTGCCAAGTCCAGGCCTGCCTCGCCCATCCAGCCAGAACATAAGGAACGGTCAGCTCTTTCCACACATTCTGGCTACCTGTATGAGGCAGCGCTGCGGGAGCGCTCGCTTGGTGGAGGAGAGCCGGCTAGAGGGAAGAACGGCGCTGGCGAGGCGCACGAGGGGGAAGCTGCGTGGGCGCAGCTAGTAGCAGCTGCGGCCATAGCTGGGCCTCATGTCTGCGTAGCCTGTGGAGGTGGAGCGCTGGTCCTTGGGTGCCGAGGGGCTGCATTGAGGAAACCGGAGGGGTGAGCTGTGCACGGGGGCACGTACCTGATGAAGAGGAAGTAGGCCGGGCACGTAACTGATGAAGAGGAAGTGGGCCGGGCATGTACCTGGTGAAGAGGAAGTGGGCTTCTGTCAGAGTCTTCACAATTCATCGGGCGAAGATCTTAAAGCTGACCTGTTGCCGACATTAGAGTCCAGGTCGTACGAGTAGGCTGTCTGTAGTCTGGGCGCCGAGCCCCACGTAGGATTGCAACATTGATGGACACGTGGGATTGGAGGTGAGGTGGGTGTTTTCATTATCATGTGATTTCATTGCTGGTTCAATCTTATTCGGTGCAATTTGTCGGTGCATTCTTCTTCCAGTTTCTGCTTGAAGTTATCTGGATTTCTGTCGCAACCCTTGCACATACTGTTTCTTCGGACTTCACTGCCTCATTAGGAGCCTGGACCTCGACAGTCTGCCCAGGATGCATTTGACTGATGGATAAGGACTTGCCACATCGCCCAGAGTTAGTGTTACATGCTATACAGGCCCCAACCTGTTTCCCTACAGGGAAACTTCCAGGCTCTTGCCTGGAAGCTTCCTTCTGACAGGGCCTACAGGCCCCAGCCTGTTTCCCTACAGGGAAACTTCCAGGCTCTTGCCT